TTAGTTGCACCAATTAAATTTTCTAATTGTATCCAGTTTTAGGAGGAAGCCTCTATCTCTCCTCTCATGCTGCCATTTTTGGAACAATGTGGGGTTAACCTTTTATTTCCTCGTCTGACTACTAAGTTAATAAGCTATATCTGATGTATTCTTTTTCCTTAACAAAAGTTTATCCTGATGTGTGAATGTCTCAGTCAAAGATCACTTTCAGAAAACTAATATTGTAATTTTACATTTATCTTCATTTTGATTTTTATCTTTGAGTAAATTTATAAAAATCATTGATTGTTCCCTTTCTGGATTTGTTTGCTGCTTTTCAGTTTCAGCAGAGACTGACTTTAAAATGGTTGGATGTGATTGCTTACATCTGTATGTTTTGGGGTGCTCCTGTGTTTCTGTTCACACTGGCAACACTAGCAGTTACCCGGCTACCCTGGGTCAAAAGCTGAGAATCATTTCTGATTCTTTCCTCCCTTCACTCCTCATATCCATTTACTTAACACATATTTATTGAAACCCACACACACTAGCTTGGGAAATGATAGTTAAGGAAATAAATGCAGGGCATGTGCTCATGGGGTTCAGTCTAGTACCAAATCACAAATTTCTGTTAATTTTACCTTCTGCATATCTTTGAAATCCTCTTCCCTTTTAACCCAGGTATATCATCTCTTGCCTAAAGGAAGATCGCTTTATTCTGCCCAGGCTCACTCTTCTCTGACCTTAATTAGCACAAAACACAAATCTGACTATCCCACCAGTGGGTTCCCATTGTCCTTCCAGTAAAAATATTTAAGCAATTACTTCCAATATGCATGTTAAATATTTATATACTATGTATATACTTCTATGTACTAATATGAAATATATATTATAAAAGTTATTCACCCCCAAATAAGTTTGAAGTGGAAATGGAATATTTTTAATGCTTCTAAATTTCATTTAACTATCAAAGAAATCTTATTTACTCTCACTGAAAAATTAATATTTTAGTAGTATCACTGTGCAGTGCTATTTGTGATCATAAGTTCTTTTTTATTGTCCTGGTAATGTATCTTATAAAGAGTTTGCATTAGGAGCAGAAATGTCAGGTGTATCAACTTTTTGTTGCCTGTGCTGTGTGTGTTTGTGTGTAAAGAAAGAAAAAGAATCTTTATAATATTATATTAATATTAATCTTGATCTGGTTTTCTAAGAAATCTTTGAAAGATTTATCATTTTATGAGACTGTTGATTACAAATAGATGATTCAATCTGCATATCCATTATGTATCCACATGTAAATTGCAGTAATCCCAGTATGTCATCGTAAAGAATCAAGTAGGGAAGGCAACCCTGTCAGTCCTTCTGGGTGCCTGATTGCCCATCGTCCCATTGTGATGGCATGTGTATGAATGGGATGTGTGACTGTCCACCAGGCAGATGAAAAAACAGGTCTGGAGCCTGTTGTATATTAAATATTATATTTCAAAGACAGATATGAGTAGCAGCATTTGTAATTTCTTTCCACTCCCCAGAGGAAATCACTTGGGAATAAATAGGACCTTTTGTGATTTGCCTCCTGCCCTCTTATACAATATAATTCCCTTTTGCTGTTTCAGGCCCATTATTCCTTTTTACTCACTCTCTCCTATGCCTTGAGTGCCTCCTCCCCACTGTCCTCCATCTTCCCTTTCCCTGGAGAACTCTATTAATTCCTAGACACCCTTCGGAACTTGTCCCTGCCACAAGGTGCTCTGTAGATCCTCTGTACCTCCTGTGTGCCATGTGCCTGTCACTGTGGTTGTACTCATCATGTTATATTACCATTGTCTGCTGTGAGTCTATCTTCCTCCCTTGACTGAGAGCTCCCTGGGAAAAGAGAGTATCTCATTTATGTTTATATGTCCAGAGCCTAGAGGAGTTCTGGGTATCTAAAATATATAGCAAGTAATACATTTGTTAATTACTTGAGGTAATGATTGGGTGTCTGCATGAGGCAGAGATGTCATCTGTGTAGCTGCAGTAATTGTAATGATCCCTTCATAGTTAATGCTGGCAGGAGCGTGGCTGGCCTCAATTCAGTTTAGTTCAAGCGGTGTTCCTTGAGCTCTTGCTCAGCCTCTAGTTCAGTAACCAGTGCTATGAAAGGTGCAGAGGCAGACTCTGTTGTTTTTAGAGGTCTAGGTAGGGAGGAAAGCTGGGCCCCCACCCATCCATTCAGCTAGTGCAGGTTTCTTGATGACCTGCCACGTGCTAGGCACTGTTCTAAGTACTGGGAATCAGCAGTGAGTGTATCAGAAAAATTCCCTATAGAGCTTACATCTTAGTGGAAGAAATTTAAAAAAAAATTAATTCAAATGGTGATGAGTGCTGTGAAGAAAGGGAGTCAGGGTAAGGAGTTACTAGTGATGGGGTTGGAAGGGTTCTGTTTTGTATAGAGTGGTTGAGGGTTGGCTTCACTGACATGGTAACCTTTGAGGAAGAACTTTACCAAGGTGAGGGAGTGAGCCATTTGGATATCTGGGGGAAGAGTTTAAGCAAAGGAGTACTGTGAGTGCAAATGTCCTGAGGCAGAGGTCCTTGTGGCTTGCTATGTAGAAGCAAGGAGTCAGGGTGTCTCAGAGTGGCTGGAGAAAGTTAGAAGAGAAGGCCAGAGAGGTAGAGAGGCCTGGCTCAAGGGAGGCCTTGGGGGCTATTCCTAGAACTTAGTCTTTGACTCTGAGTGACATGGAACCCATTTGGGTTTTGAACAGAGGAAGGATGAGATCTGACATAGAATTTAGTTGGTTTATTCAGAGCCACATATGGAAAATGGGCTACAAGAGAGATGGGCTGGGGTACAGTTAGGAGTCTTGTGTAAAAAGACAGAGACAGTAAGACTTGGTGGACCAGGGTGGCAATGGTGAAGAAGTGACAAAGGGTATAATTATACATATGGTATTGTAGTGTTGGCTGGATTTGCTAATGGATGAGGTGCAGGACTGATACAAACTGAAAAATGCTTTACTGAGGGCAGTGTGACTGTGGGCTCACCAAGGGCATGGGGTCCCCCTGCTCCATGTGTGTAAGGAGGCCATGGTGGCTGTGACTCCCCTTTCCTACTCAGGATCAAGGTGAGAAACTACAGGATATTCAGGATATTCATCTTTTCTCTACATGCACTCAACTCAAACCTTCTTCATCTTTCATTTTTTTTCTTTGAATATTTATCTAAGCAACTTCAAAAGGTGAATGTTGTTGTTTTAATTTCTCTCTGCTAATATTTAATTTAGAAGCATTTGCATAATTTATCTTTGATCATAAATGCATATGAAAATAAATAATGGTTTTATTTATATTAAATATTTACTTGGGTTTTATCACAGAATATTGGATTTTCTCACCACTTTATCCTCAGTCTTAAAATGAAATTAAAGAAATTTATGTTGAATGAATGGATCATGATATATTATGAATGCAAATCTAAAGTAGCTCTTCACTAATGCAATATATAGAGCATGTATATAAAGAAGTATGTAATAACCATTCAAAGTTGATGAGGTATATAGCAAATTTAAAGCAGTTTTTTTTCTCTGATCACTAAAAAATATTGAAGTCCAATCAGTTGATAGATATCTATCTGCTGATTTGCATTGCTCAAGCAATCCTTTAACGGGTCATTGACCTTTCATTCAATTCTTCATTCTTGAAGAACTAATCTGTAGATGGGGAAACTTTTTGAATTGAGGAGAAATGGGCCATTGAAGACTATTATATTGCAATGAGATAAAACACTATGGAGTTTTAAGCTGTAACATCATAAATCCAATTACAGCAAATCTAATAAAAAGTTGTTTTGACATTCATTTGTAGAACTGTAGACAATCAAAATAGCTTTTTGTTTTCTTTGTGTTTAGGTTCTGAATGTGGCACCTAATGATGGCTTTGCCAAAGTGCATTATGGCTTTATCCTGAAGGCACAGAATAAGATTGCTGAAAGCATTCCCTACTTAAAGGTGAAAATCCCTGCCCTTCCTCCTTTTTTACCCTCTGTTACCTTTGTGTCATTTAGACACTCTTGATTATGCATTGTGATTGATTAGCATGCACTGCTGAGTCTTTCCTCTTCAAAATGTACACCCTATGACCATGACATTCATAGGCAGTGGTTGAGAGTTGAATGTAGAAATAGCAACCATAGGAGCAGCCTATTTGGAAAAGACGTCATGAAGAAATTCCTAAAACTGCAGTTGTTATTCATTTTTTTTAAATGGGAAAGATAGACAAAAAATACTGATATTATATTTTAAAATATGGGCAACACATTAAATATTCCTTCGACAGCTTGCTTATTCATTCAGTCTAGTTTGAGTAAGGCTCATGGCAACCTACACAAAATGAGGTAACAAATGCAGACTGAAGAGGTCAAACCTCTGAAAATGTTATAGTTCAAACTATTGAGATTAAAATATGCTATCATGTTTTTCTTGACTTTCTAGTAGAATCTTTGTCAATGTACCAGAATCAGCACAGTTCACTAGCTCAGAATTGTTCAACAGAACTATCTGCCATAGTGCATATGTTCTTTATTTGTGCTCTCCAGTATTGTAGCCACTAGGCACATGTGGCTGTTGAGTACTGGAAATATGACTAGTATGACTGAGGAACTGAATTTTTCATTTTAATTAATCTTAATTTTAATAGTAGTAACATGTAACTTGTTGATGCTGGGGTTCTTGTTCATGGAGTTGAAGAATGAACTTAGCAAACATTCAAGGTAGGAGAGCCAGGGAGAAGCTTTTATTCAGAGATAAAGTGAGAGGACAGAGTTCCTGGCTCTCTCCAGGAGGGGACAAGAGAGCCTGTGGTGGTGTGTTGTCTAGGGGATTTATAGGCAAAGGGCTAGGGATGCAGACCCACCAAATGGTCCCCAAATGTTTATCTTTGAAGAGATACTACGTTTCTTATCAGTCTTCCAGATTATTTTGCAGTTAACACAGAAATTTACTGCTTTGATTCTTTCCCAGAATAGCAGCTTCTTGGTTTGGGAGCATATCAATCAAGACTGCCTGTCCTGCTCCCAAGGTGGGCTGGGTTATTGTCTGTTATGTTAAGAAACCTATGTTTTTATTTTTGGGTTTTAAAATGCAATCTTATCTTTAAAATAGAATCTTTCTTGTTTTTACTATGTTGTTTGTGACTAGGCTTGCTTACTTATTAATTGCCCAGGTTCTATATTACTTGATTAGAGGCTAGAGGAGGAAAAGCAGCATCTGGGTAAAGTTAAAGAAGATAAGCTGGGCCTTTTAGCAGGCTAAAGTAAATTTTACAATAGCCTCATTTCATTGACACAATGAAGACGTGGGCTATGCTGAGTTATTTTCTTGTCTGGGGATATTCAAACATTCCAGGCCAAGTTACTCCTGGCCTTTTACTTTTAACTAATCTCACTGAAGAATACTTATATTCCTAGTTTGATATTTTACTTTAGAGAACTAATGTGACTTTGACTTTGCTTAATTGTTTAATACTGAGTTTGGTAGGGGTCTCTTTCCAGAGGCCCTCACCCTACTCTGACTACACCCAAGGTCCCTGTCCCAGACAGGTAACTGATGGAATACCTGTGAACTTTTGTTTAAGTGGCAGTATATTGCACTTTAATGCTCTTTATTTCACATGACTTAAATCAGAGATCCCAAATAGCAACCGGCTGATTGCAGATAGCTTTGTGTTTGATTTGGCCAGTACAATTCTATTAAACAATTTTAACTGGTTGCCTTATTTAGAAAACTGAATGTTCTATTTAATTATACAGAGTTACTGGTTTCTCATACAGAAAGGTCATATCTGGCCCATATGCCAGCACAAGAGCTAAGTGAGCAATGTTGTCCCCTTAGATAGGCGTGTACCTGCTCCAGTCAGTCTTGGCTGTCACTGGGCCTCTGCAAACCTTTATATTCCCTGACAGGACCCTGTGGGCATACAGGTTTCTCTGATTTAAAGTTTTCCCCTTCACATTTCCTTTGACATAACAAGGGCCTACTAGTACTCAACCTACTTCAAAGATGGGGAAATGGAGAGCTGGGTGGGTGAGTTAAGAAGTGAGGACATTAAGTGTTTGTCAAGAGCCCTGACCATAATTGTCCTCTCCTGAGTGAGACTTCTCCTGTTCCTTTGCCACTATTTTCTAACATTTTGCAAAAAAATTTCTTCCCAGTGCAAGATAATGAATTCCATATGAAAGTGTAGATTTTTAGAAAGAATTCCTTGACATTTAAGTACTTTTTACCTTTTTCCTTCTTATGCTTTTATAAATTGATTCTCTTGCTTTGTCTCTCTCTTTTTTTCAAAAATCTCAGTTTTAGTCCTTATGTAGGAGATGGGAGTAGAAATAAGCTAAATGTTTTAGAATAGAATTTGTTTAATAACAACTACATTTTCAAAGATTCCCTTTGGTTTTAATCCTATTGTAAGTCTTATAAAAGATTTCATTAAAAGGTGAAGACCCATTTGCTTTGAGTGGAAAGAAATATTATTCACATTTGGGCCTCTATCACTTCAAATATCTTATGAGCAATGAAAAATTTTGGTTCAGTAATAAAAAGCCTCTGGATGACATATGGTCAGATTTGGAGAGCAACATAAATGTGATAGATGTTCAGCCAAAGAAATTTTTGGGGATATTAAAATATGATTGTTCCCACAGAAGGATTCACATACTCATTTTATGGGCTATTTATTATGTTCTTAATTAATAGTAAATGTATAATTAAATTTAGCTTTCTTACCTCCTTTTGATTTGACATTGTAAATGTTGACTGGTAACCTAATTGACAAACCTGGTTCTTATATTTTTGTATATTTTTCTGGTTCTTAGATTTTTGTATGATATTTAAAGATCAAGTAAATCAATTAACTAAATTTTGTGTTTCATTCATTCGTAAGTACTAACACTGTCCTTTCTACAGGAAGGAATAGAATCTGGGGATCCTGGCACTGATGATGGGCGATTTTATTTCCACCTGGGGGATGCCATGCAGAGGGTTGGGAACAAAGAGGTAATGAGTTGTGAGTTTTTTGTTCTTTTTAATGGAAGATAAAGTAGGAGAAGCAGTTAATTCTAGGAGGGATTTACAATGGGAAAAACATTTTGAGCATGAATTACTGAAGGTGGTGATTTAAACTATTTCTCTACTTAAACTGTTTTTTTTTAATAAACAATCCAACAACCACTTAATCCTTAAGGAATTTTTAGGATTTGACTTTTATAGGTTCTTTCAAGAAAGAAGCTGAGTAACATAACAGCAGGCTCTAAATTAGCATGTGTATGTGTATATGTATATCTATGTGTGGGTGTGTATATCTGTGTTGTACATCTGTATGTGTCTGTGTATATACAGAGAGACATATAGCCTTGAAAAATATTCTTTAAATTGTGAAATGATGTCTCTGAAATTGTTTAACTATTTTAAAAATATTTTGACAGCTTACCTAGATTTATTTTTTATTTTACTTTACTTTGGATTTTAAAAAGTGGGTATTTTTGAATGCAGTCTTTATTCAGCTGACTCTTGAGCACACTGAACCCAGTGGTTAATTGTGTAAATTACCTTCTAAAACATTTAATACAAGTTTAAGATAAACAACTGTAGTTGTAGTAATGACAGGTACTGACACACAAAATGCAGTAGGTAAAGCAAGTTACATGCTTTCTTTGTGATTATTACTTTTTTCCTGAGTACAATATGTAATACATGACACAACGATAACATAGCTTCAAGTTTCTAAAATTGGTAAGAACATGGGACCATTTGGACAATGAGGGTTTCTAGGAGCAGGGGGTTTTATGATGGGATAATTGCAGCTAGAGCCATGAACCAATTTAGGGTAATAGAGATTTAGATAATTGATGCTGTTTCCTTTATAAATTTCTAGGTATCTGTACCTTTCTCCTCTCACCTACCAGTCAGTCAAATTAAATAGAATGAGACATTAGAAGTAAAGAAGGGAGAAGAAATAGTTCATTGATTATTTTTGTGTCCTTTCACACTTTTAGATGTAAATGTCTGGTACCACCTTTGAGAGAGAGATAAGAAAGATTTTGCTACAATATCTAATGCAGGACAAATGTTTATGTCTGATTGCAATAAATGTAATTGTCACTAATTAATTTATCTTTGAACATCTCAGGATTCAGGGCAAAGACAGATAAAAGAAGTCTATGATTATTCTTACATCTTAGATGAAAACAGTCCTTACGTCAAGGGCAAAGAATTCACTACTAAACATTTGTTAAAGGCATGGGATTTGAACCTATGGGAATGTTCTCTCAGATTAATTATCATTAATATGCAAAGAACAGCACAGGTCTTGAATTTAAAAAGTTCATGATTCATCCTTACAGGGAAACAAAAATAAGCCTGTAGAAATCCCGTGTTGGTATAATCTCGATGTCAGGTATTGAATCTGTGAATTGACTGCCATACTGAGTTTGTGTGTCAGGAAGCAACCATCCTCCTGTTTAGTGTTCTTAATTAGAAATATAAAAGGGAAATAGTAAAGCGGAAATTTTCAAACAATTCTAACTTGATCGTTGATTTTCTAGCAATTTGTATTGTAACATAGTTTAGTTGTTAAAAACAAAAAACAATCTTCCTGAATTTATTGGGTCCTCTATAATTGAAGATGATGTTACCTTCATTATAGATACTATTGAAAATGATTTTTTAAATTCCTGATATATCATTGTCACAGTGTCATTTCTCAGAAAGTGAAATGACAGAGGGGTACAAAATTGAGGATCCACTAGAACTAACTTTGAATGTCAGAAAAGACCTTAAAATGGTTTAAACATGTCATTGAGAGAGAAGGGGCTTGCCTAGCCATCCAGCATAGTGAATATTAAGGCCATCTCTAAAACCTTAGACTTAAAACCCTTGAACTATAGCTATGAGGTTTGCTGTTTTGGTCTTCCTATAATAATTTTTTCTCACTCTTCTAACAATGTGCCTACTCCATAAAATGAATCAGTGATGATTCAAAAACTTACGAACCCTAAGAGTTAAAAAAAAATTCATCCGTTATAATTAATATTGTTGTTCACTTTACACTGAAATGTATATGAAATAAAATCCTAAGTTTAAATTGGACAAAAGTAACTAAAATAGTAAAATTAATTTCAAAAGTAAAATGTTGTTTTTTTAATTAGGCAACAATTAGCCATTTAAAATTTCTGACTTAAAGAAATTTCTTTATGGCTATAACATATCTACTTCAAGGAAATCATATAATAGTAATTAGCATATGCACTCTTAATTTGAGATGTTTTTGAGAAAGGTAATTAGATCATTTTTGGTAGTTTTATTTTGTTTTGTTTTTTAATGACACAAAGATGGAAGCAGAGTGGAGCAAGTTGCCAGGAGCCCTGGCTTATATAGTTGAAAATATTTAGCCTTTTTAAATCTCAGTTTCAACTTTTGTAAATGGGAGATATTTGGGAGTTGGGAAAAAATCAAGTAAAAAAAGCAAGAAGTAAATGAGACAGTGGTCCTAAATATATAAAGTGGTACTGCTTGCATACTTGATTTTTCTCATGATGGAAATTTTGACATAGGAATTCTAAAAAACGTTTAAAAGTTAATTTTTTTACATTATATTCTCTCAGGTGTTTTGTGAATATCTTGAATATCTTCTTAATCTGCTTGATATTAAATGCCTTTGTCTAATTGATCTAAATGTGTATTTGAAATCACTCTTCAAAAGTAATCATTAGATCAGACTTGCAATAATGGAAGGGATACTGTTAAGTTTACTGCTTGAATTGTCTCCCATCCTAAAGACAGTAGAGCATGCTCGGTGCAGGACACATGTGGGGAGGGCCACTGGAAGAGCATATGGTTAGGGCGTCATTTGAAGGAAGCATATGGAGTGGCATTGTCTGCAGCCAGCTGTCCCTGAAACAGCTACTCTTCTTGAGGCAAGTTACATCGTGTTACAGCTAGCCCAGAGCCAACCGTGGTATTCCCTCATGGCAGAAAAACAAAAAGGAGCAAAAATTCCCTTCAAAAGAAATGTGATCTATTGTTATATTTATTGCCAACTCAGAATAATATTTCCTTTCTGTCTGCTTAATTTAATGGAGAATTTATACTCTGTTACCTTGGGGTAACCTTCTTGAATCCAGACATGGAAGAACATACATTTGAAAAGAGGTTACTCTCCATTTTAGCACTCCAGTTGGGGAAATGCATATATCTATGAAGAAATTATTGAAATTGTAGTCCTTTCCTTTTAAAGGAAACATAAAAATAGAACTTAAGAAATGAAAGCTAAAGTATATAATCCACATTAGTGGCCTAAGTTATTTGTCCACTCAACAAATAAAGTACTAGACTCTGTGCCAGACTCTCCGAGGGAGACCAAAATGAGAGTAGCATGAATCCTGTGCTAGCAAGCTTAAAAAGTGTGAAAGTGCACACACTCATTCATAATAACAGGTCATAATCATACACCCACTCAAATAACAGTATTTTCACCAGTGTAACAGATTTGGGCACCTGACTAGCAAGCTCTTTATTGAGATGTCTCAAAGTAATACTTTAGTGACTTTAATTTTAAAATTAGTAAAAATGCTTTTTTTTGGCATTCGGTCTTTCTACTTTTTCAGGCATATGAGTGGTATGAGCTTGGGCACAAGAGAGGACATTTTGCATCTGTCTGGCAGCGCTCACTCTACAATGTACATGGCCTGAAAGCCCAGCCTTGGTGGACCCCAAAGGAAACAGGCTACACGGAATTGGTGAAGGTGAGTGCTGGCTTAGACTTCATCCCTACCTGATCATTGCCTGTTCCCTACAGAGAATCAGCAAATGCTCACCTTGGAAAGGAATGTTGGGGTGGAGATGGATTTTACACCTGGTGACATTTGCAAAACAGATTGTGAAAGAGAATCTTTTCATCCCATTAGCCAAAACTTTAGTTCAGATGGTGAAGAAAGACATTTTTCTTGAAGATCATTTCTCAAATATTTTGGCTTTATAACCCCTTCACACTCTTAAAAATTATTGAGCATCTCAAGGAATTTGGCAGAGTGGAGGGCAGTGTTATATCCATCCATATAATTAATAGAAAGTAAAACTGAAAGAAAATGCAATACTTATGATTCTTTAAAAATAAAACCATTGCATGTTAATATAAATAACTTCTTTAAAAAACCTATATTCCAAAACAAAAAAAATGCAGTGAAAAGTTTAAATTGTTTTCTATTTTTACAGATAGCTTTGATTTCTGGTTTAATAGAAAACAGGAGAATTCTCATATCTACTTCATACATGCATCCTTTATAGCAGTGATATTATCATATGTCAGACCTTGGAAAACTCCATTGCATGCATGTGTAAGAATGAGCATGGAAAATAATAGAAAGAGCAAATAATGTCCTTGTATTATGAAGAAAATCAGTAATTTTGATCTTGCAGACCCCCTGAGTCTAGAAAACTCTATGGTAACACTGGACCACATTTTGAGAACCTCTGGTCCTGAGTCTATTAAAACAAATATTTTTAGAAAATGTAGTGGCAGAAATGTAGGATAGAAAAACTAAGTGATTCCAACAACTTAATGGCTTAAAAAAAGGAACAAAAAATCAGAAGTGCTTACATTGATGGATTAAATTCAGACTATAAGAATGTCTATTTTGCGATTTTGGTAGAGGCCTGTCAGAAGACTACTATTGCTTTAGCAAGCTTAGACAGGTTAATAATGAGAAACAAAGTAATTCATGGTGTCACTAGCATTGTTTTCTACTCAAAAGGTAAAAGATGCCATTTGCTTTGTGGGTTGATGGTCTTAAGTGGTCTGGCCTGAGAATCTAACTGCCATATATATTGTTCATATAAGAAAACACATTCTGATTTTCAAACAGCTCATTTTACATCTCTGACGTGTGTTTTCTAGTGCCACCAAAAGATTCCCCAATTCTCAGTGGACACTGACTGCATGTCTGTAAATTTAATTCAATTCTGACACTCTCCACCTGGAGAGAGCATCAGGTTCCACAGGTGAAGGGCTTAGTCCCTAAGACTGCCACCATCTCAGACACCAATTCTAGGTTGTCACTCTACCTCTGACTGACTGACTATAAATCAGAGGTTCCCACAGTCCCTCGCTGAGTTCAGTCGATTTGTTAGAATACCTTACAGAACTCAGAAATATTTACTTAGGTTTACCTGTTTATTATGAAGTATGTTATAAAGGATACAGATGGACAGCCAGATGAAGAGGCAAATAGGGTGAGGTCCAGAAGCGTCCCAAGCGCAAGCACTTCATCCCTGTGGAACTGGAGTCCACCACCCTCTTGGCCTGTAGATACTTTCACCAACCCAGAAGCTCATCAAATCTTATTCAAGAGGTTTTATTGAGCTGAATCTCCATCCCTCCTACCCTCCCCTTCTCAGAGGTTGGCGAATGGAGCTGAAAGTTGATCTAATCACTTGGTCTTTCTGGGGACCAGCCCTAACCTGAGGTTGACTTTGTCCTTGTGCTGGCGTACTTCAAGATGGCTGCCAGCAGCAACTGGAATGGAGGGTTAGAAAGTGTTTCAGGGCTTCATGACATTGTTGAGAAACCACACCAGCCCCGTATGGCCTTCTGGAAACTTCCTAGCAGACCCTGTCCTGTTGGTCAGAACCATGTCCCACGGGCACTCACAGTTTAAAGGGAGTCTGAGCAACATGCTGGGGCAACAAGCTTCCAGCAAAAGAACGTATGTACTTCTCCGTCAGCCAAATCAAGGTATCAGCAGGGCTGGTTCCCTCTGAGGGCTGTGAGGGAGAATGTGTTGCATCACTCCCTCATAGCTTCTGGTTGCTTTCTAGTGATGTGTAGAGTTCTGCGGCTTATAGGTCACTGCCCTCGTCTTCACGTGGTGCTCTCCCTGTGTGTCTGTCTGTCTCCACATTTTCCCTTTTTACAAAGACAACAGTCATATTGGATTAAGACCCACCCTGATGTTTTCATTTTAACTTGATTACCTCTGTGAAGACCCTGTTTCCAAATAAGGTCACATTCTGAAGTACTGGAAGGTTAGCACTTTAACATATGAATTTGAGGATCATAATTCAACCCATAACAGATACTTAGGAATACATTTTACAAAGAAGCCAAGTATATATATTGTTCATATAAGAAAACACATTCTGATTTTCAAACAGCTCATTTTACATCTCTGACGTGTGTTTTCTAGTGCCACCAAAAGATTCCCCAATTCTCAGTGGACACTGACTGCATGTCTGTAAATTTAATTCAATTCTGACACTCTCCACCTGGAGAGAGCATCAGGTTCCACAGGTGAAGGGCTTAGTCCCTAAGACTGCCACCATCTCAGACACCAATTCTAGGTTGTCACTCTACCTCTGACTGACTGACTATAAATCAGAGGTTCCCACAGTCCCTCGCTGAGTTCAGTCGATTTGTTAGAATACCTTACAGAACTCAGAAATATTTACTTAGGTTTACCTGTTTATTATGAAGTATGTTATAAAGGATACAGATGGACAGCCAGATGAAGAGGCAAATAGGGTGAGGTCCAGAAGCGTCCCAAGCGCAAGCACTTCATCCCTGTGGAACTGGAGTCCACCACCCTCTTGGCCTGTAGATACTTTCACCAACCCAGAAGCTCATCAAATCTTATTCAAGAGGTTTTATTGAGCTGAATCTCCATCCCTCCTACCCTCCCCTTCTCAGAGGTTGGCGAATGGAGCTGAAAGTTGATCTAATCACTTGGTCTTTCTGGGGACCAGCCCTAACCTGAGGTTGACTTTGTCCTTGTGCTGGCGTACTTCAAGATGGCTGCCAGCAGCAACTGGAATGGAGGGTTAGAAAGTGTTTCAGGGCTTCATGACATTGTTGAGAAACCACACCAGCCCCGTATGGCCTTCTGGAAACTTCCTAGCAGACCCTGTCCTGTTGGTCAGAACCATGTCCCACGGGCACTCACAGTTTAAAGGGAGTCTGAGCAACATGCTGGGGCAACAAGCTTCCAGCAAAAGAACGTATGTACTTCTCCGTCAGCCAAATCAAGGTATCAGCAGGGCTGGTTCCCTCTGAGGGCTGTGAGGGAGAATGTGTTGCATCACTCCCTCATAGCTTCTGGTTGCTTTCTAGTGATGTGTAGAGTTCTGCGGCTTATAGGTCACTGCCCTCGTCTTCACGTGGTGCTCTCCCTGTGTGTCTGTCTGTCTCCACATTTTCCCTTTTTACAAAGACAACAGTCATATTGGATTAAGACCCACCCTAATGTTTTCATTTTAACTTGATTACCTCTGTGAAGACCCTGTTTCCAAATAAGGTCACATTCTGAAGTACTGGAAGGTTAGCACTTTAACATATGAATTTGAGGATCATAATTCAACCCATAACAGATACTTAGGAATACATTTTACAAAGAAGCCAAGTCTTGTGCACTGAAAACCACAAAACCTTATTGGAGGAAATTTAAAACATCTAAATAAATGGAAATAAATCTCATGTTTTTGAATCAGAAAATTTAATATTGTTAAGGTAGCAATATTCCCCAAGTTTCTCTAAAGCACAACACAATCTCTATTAAAATTCTGAATTTTTTAATAGAAATTGACAAACTGATCCTAAAACTTATATGAAAATGCAAGGAGTCTAGAATAGCTAAAACAATTTTTATAAAGAATAAAGTTAGAGGACCTCATACTTGCCAATTTCAAAACTAACTGCAAATTAAGTCAGTGTGGTACTTCCATAAGGGCAGACATATAAATCAGTGGGATAGAGCTGAGAATCCAGAAATAAATTTTAACATTTATGATCAATTGCCTTTTGACAAAGGTGCCAAGACAATAGAATGGGGAAAGAATTATCTTTTCACAGATGGTTCTGGAACAACTGTATATCCACATGCAAAAAATGAAGTTACCTCAAACTATGCACCAAAAAACAAACATAAAATGGAAATAGACCTAAGTGTAAAAAATAAAACTATAAAACTTATAGAAGAAAACACAGAATTAAGTCTTCATACATTGAGTTAGGCAATGTTTTTTTTTTAAGTATGACACCAAAAGCACAAGTGACAAAAGACAAAATAGATAAATTAGATTTCATCAGAATGTTTTGTGCTTCAAAGTATGCAATCAGTAAAGTGGAAATAAAATCCACAGAGTGAGTGGTAATACTTGCAAGTCATATATGTAACAAGGGACTTTTATGAAGAATATATTAAGAACTCTGATAACTCAATGTAGAGACAAATAACCCAGTTAAAAAGAGGGGAAAATTGAATAGACAGAAGATATACAAATGGTGGAAAAACACATGAAAAGATGCTCAAAGTCATTCATTAATAAGGAAGGGCAAATCAAAAACACAGTGCGATACCACACTAACTCCTACTTGGATGTCTATAACCGAAAAAAAGACTAATAAGTGTTGGCAAGTGTGTGAAGGATTTGGAACACTGAAACATTGCTGGTGGGATGTAAAGTGATGCAGCCACTTGGGAAAACAGCTTGGTATTTCATCAAAAATTAATCATCAAAAATATAAACATAGAGTCATGGCCCATCATTCTATTCCTAGGTCTATATCCAAGAGAAATGAAAATATTTATTCATATAAAATGTATACATGAATGTTCTTGGTAGCATTATTCATATAGCAAAAAAGTAGACACACCCAAGCGCCTATCTAAATGATGAATGTATGAGCAAAATGTGGTACATCTAAACAGTGGCAATAAAAAAGGAATGAAGTACTGTTAATAACAACCTGCAT